AATGTTGCATACACCGCTCTCCGACTTAAAATCGTATCCCTTGTAAAATGCACTGCTTCTCCGTGATTAACCACACTAATACCTTGTGACTATGCGCTAAGGATGTCGGGGGATGTACAAAGTCAACTGTCCGATGCCTTAAATGATCATGAATACTGTGGCAGAGGACTAGGACTAGGTACGTTCCCCAGGGTCTCCCTGTCGCTCTGATAAAGTTGCAAAAACGAGGCCAAACCATTAATATACAGTTAAAGGAGCATGCGACCAAACCTAAGGCCATACCATCTTGGTCTTTGTACTTATAATCACTCTCAAGCTCACTTCACTATAGAACGAAATAAGGAGACTCCACTTTTACCCAATTCCTATCATTGCGCTTCTCATGCTTGTCAATCTTACATCTTTGTGCAGCTTCTTGAAATGGAGAATAGAATGGATCTGTCTCTAGAGCTACTGCAGATGTACACTACTACATGTCCCAACAATCCGAATTCTTTTCGATATCTCGCCCAGTGGTATACTCGAAACCTACAGAAGCATCCTAGGTAACTGAAGTTAGATTTGTGCTGCATTCCCGCTTGAGTATTGCTTTTACCTTACCCAAATTTCCACATTGTAACTAAACTGTATCATTATATAAATGAGAAATCTTATTTTTTTAGTGATCTTTGTTCACTGTTTAGATCTGATTCCGACTATTCTCCTCTTTCATCACCTGAGACCAAACGCAAGAAGACACAAGATCATTATCTTGCCCTCATAGAGCTTTATAAACGCCTTTTGCCATGCCAACGACCTTCTGGCAGCCCAGAAGGCAAAGCTGAAGGAGCTGCTATCCTTAAGGATCTTACCACTCTTGTAAAAAATTGTGGATCTTCGGGTATGCTACCTAACTTTGTATTTTTACATATATATGCTTATATGTACAGGTAAAATTGATATGTATACTAAGATAAATATTTGTTAAATTTTGATCTAGATGTCTAACTTATAAGTCCGGCTCTAGATCGCCCAATAAAATTATTATCCAATTATTGATTTATAATACTTTTCAAAAAGTGTACATTTATAATTGGCTTAATTATTTTTCGCGATAAACTGGTATCTGCCATTGGAAGCATTGATTCCAACTATTACTTTACCGTAAAGCCTCAATGCTCAA